GGGGGGGGGGGGGGGGGGCAGAAACAGAAAGGAAAGTCTGTTAGAATTACTACTAACAATAAATTTCAGAAGGCACAGATATTGTCTTTCCTTCTTTTACTATGCATTACTGCTTCTTACTCCCTCACTGAAGTGAGATACACAACCCGTAACTATCCATTGTCCAAAGAAGATGCAGATTAAAATAAAGGAATGTTTTCTATGTGGCCCAACTTCAATAGCAACAGTGTATTTAGACTACACAATATTTGACTTGATTATTAAAGCTATTTATTTAAATTATTAGACTACTGCCAATTAGTTTATTAATTTAAAATGTAACAAATCATTACAATTGGAAAATAATCTGATTATCATTACTATCTGCAGCAATGATTATTTAAGATCCGAGTAGCTATTTTTCATATAAAGGAAAATCTTGCTTCAGCAATCTTGAGGAAAATCAGAGATATAGAGTTAACTTTTTACAGCTCTGTATTTTAAAACTATGCGCTGGCAAAATTGAAGTGAGTACATTATTAGGTCCCAGGGTAAATTCTCAGTAAGCACATATATGTGCAGAGATACCATTCTTCAGAAAAGGCTGTTACATGTAAGTTCATTATTTCATCTCTCCATTACAGGGTAAATATTTTAACTCTCTTATGACAAAAGTTAAACTGACTTGTAAAATCACCTACTACAATGTACACAGAAGTATATTTAGCAATGGTTATTTACACTGACAACCATTTACCACTAGAGCCAGAGTGATAACTAAAAAAAAAAAGAAAAATAAATGTATAGTGATTTTTTCCTATGTCGATGTTTTGTGGTAGATGTAATTTATAGTACTGTATTTTAATACAAAATGCAGATAACCATTTATTTTAAGTTCTACATATTATACTCTCATGACTCCTTGTAGTAATTTGTTGTGATTACTGGATATTGAAAATTATTTTCTATAACCCAGTAAATACAAATAAAAGAAATTAACATTTAGGTTTCTAATAGAGCTCAGAGAAACTTGATCTTTAATCATAAATGTCACTTAGATGTAAAAATATGCGCAGCCAGCATAGCAAACAGGAACTTATTATTTCCATTCAGTACTTGGGTTTACTTTATCTGGCCATTTACCACTATATATCAAAGCTTCATGAGGACCAAAAAACATACTTTGCAGCAAGTTTATAGTTTTCCAAATCTTTCCTCAAATGCATATTCTCAGCCTCAAGTTGCTGGTTGCGGGTATAGGCAGTTGGAACCAATCCAGTATCTTCAGCTGTGAACACACCTCTCTCTATGAGCTCATACCTAGTAGAGGAGAAATGAAGAGGTATTTATTCCGTGTTTCCTTTTTCTCACTTCACTGACTTCTCCCTTCTTATGCTACCATTTACCTAAACTAGAATCACAAATATAATTATAATCTCAAGGCATTTACCTTTTATGATCATAAACAATTAGTAACAGTACTATCCTACCACACTGTGTTCCTGTTTTACTGCTTTTCATTCTAAAATGTATTATTGTTCACAACAGTCAAAAGACATACCCTGTACAATAGAGTACTTCCATTTAAACAATTGTTCTTTCCCTTCCTTTCTTCCAAATAGCTTAAATACAAGAGAGAAAATATTTCTTGTTCAAATAACATTTGTAAAAAACTCACAGTCCTTTTTATCTCATACACTCAAATATATGCAAGATTTTTTTTTTTTGAGGACTCAAATAAGATGACAAAGCTGCAGAGAGCTTATAGAATAATTCGTCCAGGTTATCTTCAACATGAAATACAGAGCTCACCTACGGAAATTCCTTCATTCCTTCCTGTTTACTTATGCTGCTCTCTCCTTATTTGATTATATATACCACTATTTACCTACTTTACCAGCCCCAAAGAAAACATGATTCTGTGATGCAGAAGCCTGAAGGCTGCTTTAGTTACTTATACAGACTAACTTGCATTTTGAGAAGTAAAGAGTCTGGAGCAGCACTTGCATTCTGAGAAATAAAAAGAGTCTCGAGCAGCACGTAACGCTGTGTAGCCAACTAGGAATCTCTATAGCCCCTGGCAGTAAAGTCTGCTCAGTCAGTCTCAGGTCTACATCTTTTGGTAGGATGTCAATGAAAGCTGAGAATACTCTTAACAGCCAGTAAAAAGGATGTAGGCATTGACACCATTCGTTTTAGGCTTAATTTAAAGGCATTTCAATATAGAGCAACTGAAAGTACCTAAGTATCTTCTACACAAAAAGAGAGAGTGTCGATATTAGAAAGGATTCAGAAAAGCTAAATTTGATTAAAAAAATGTGACTGCCACTACACAAAATAAATGCTTCTGCAGAATCATGCTTGTTCAAGGAATGATTATAAGCTATCAGTATTTATAAAGTATTTCAAATGACTGCAAGATTCAAGTCTACATATACAAGCATAAGATGCTTCTGTGCAAGCAGACATTGCAGAGGTGATTCCAGAATGCAGTACATGTATGTATAAAACATCTATTTCTTCATCTACTTCTGCCCTGGAAGACAGAAGAGCAAGACCTTCGGTTGGTACAAATTTTTATAGACCCACCGAAGACAAAGACATTGTGCACCACTGCAGCCATGATACCTGTTCAGAATTGGTTCAATGGAGCCATAAATTATTTAAATTAGATAAAGACTATAGCCCCATAATCTTCCCACTTTGCTGGAAGATGTTTTGGGTAGGAACTCACTAGAAGGAGTAATATGATCATTATTTGCCTTTTCAGGTGAAAAATTTATTGAATCCATGCATTATTTTTTTCCCAAGTAATCAAGAAATATAAAAAGAACACCAGCAATTAGAGATGAAGATTACACTAAATGCTCTCTCCTGGACTTGGACACAAACAGCAGATTTGAAGCTTGAAGACATAAGCACAGCATTCATAGATCAATAAAACCTGTTGCAGAAACAAAAAGTGTCTGTAGAATAAGGGATTCTTACTTGACAAGCAACTTTTACTTAACTTCCTCAAAAAAAATTAAGGGGAATGTTAGAAACTCTTATGTCCAAATTACTTCCTACAGTCAGCCACTTATCTGCAGTCTGTGGCTACTTCTAGGAATGCTCACCCCTATGAATTAAGCTGTCACCCACATTCACCATCAGTAGATGAAAGGTCTTTGAAAAGTTAACAGAACATCTCCAAAGCAAAATTAATTCTATCATCACTTCGTTTTCTTAAGTAAATTAGAGTAGCAACAGACTTTAATACTAAGAACCTTACTTAGTCTTTTATTTGAAAAAACACCCAAACTCAAACACTGACTGATGAGCAGGTTACAATTCCTATTGAAAATACGACAAATAAGGGCACTTCTCATTGCAGGTGATCACAACTCTACACACTCTTTTATTTGCCAGAAAAATTTCTCCACTGAATGCCCTAACTCATGAAAATGATCAAATTTCTGCACAGACACATCAGCGATGGATAACTGATGAACTTAGCCTCCAGCAGAGCTAAGAACGCTGAAAGATAATTTTAATGAAATACAATTAATGCCAATAAATTCACTACACCCTTGTCTAAGAACACCACTAAAAATGAAGGTTTGTGCGCATGTAGCAGAAATGGAAACCGCACAACAACACTGCATTGTGAAATCTAATTATCTTTCATCAACTTAGTCCTGTAAAACTTACAAAACTTCTACCTACCTAGCCAACTGACAAATAGCTACTGTTCTCACTTTTATAGGGGGAACTATGATCCAAATTAAATTAGTTAGTTCTGTGCACACACGGGTATTTTTCTAAGCTTTTCAGAAAAACTGAGTTGTTATTATTCTTGAATTGCTATTTAAAATTAACCAAGAATCTGGAAACCTAAGGAACAGATGGTCAGTTATGATTTTAGGATCAAAGTCCAGTGCAGACTGACTAAGAATAATACATTATTACTAAGAATAATACATTACATGGAATCCAAGTTTCTAAGAGTTCTAAAGAAATCAGGTTGCAGATAGGCAACAGTTATAGGCCCTGCAATAAACTGATATGTAGCTCAGGATAATCCTTTACCAAGGGATAACTCACCTAGTGATGTATTCAGTGATTAAAATCTCAAATTTTAGTGTTTACAAGAACTTCTTACTGAAAACTATCATTCCAGCTGATAACTCTTTAACAGTTTCAGTAGAAGGCTAAGACAGACATGAGCACAGAAAAATAAAGGACCTTTTTGCCCTGGTACACTCCCCCAATCTATTATGGCATATAAGTAGAACATTTATATTATCATGTTATGCTTCTTATGTAGGCAAGAAAGTAGGTATGTCCACATGACTTTTGGCAAATCAAACTTGAGGTTACTTCACTTGCATTCTGAGCCAGTTCTAATCCAAAACCAGTATCTGTTTTAGTGTGATGCTGTCCTGGTACTGATGACATTTGTTTCTCTCCAGATTTATGAACTCAGAGCACAATGCACATTAATGTGACCGTATGATTTCCAGGTCAAATGGGACACAGAGCAGAGGAAACTTAGGTCTGCCTGAAATAAGTAGATTGATTCCCTGACTGTCTTCAGGGAATTGTGACATGGAGGATCACAACTTATATCCCTTTTCTTCATTCTGCAAAAAGGAATTGTTTTGTAAGGAGTCTACCTTTATGCTCAGAGAAGATATAGTAGCTTTGTGCATTTGCTCCGTTAACACACAGCCCAGGGAATCTTTGCAAGGCAAACAAGAGACATAGCTTTTACCCTTGCTTGGTCATGCAACTTCATTCATAATTTTAACCACATCAAACAGAAAAGAATTTTCAAATTGTGTTTCCGTAATTAGTCTGCAACTTTCCTTTTACTCACAAGCTGAAACACTGCCAGGTCTCTAGGAACACTTAGTCAGAGATTACCAGTCTGATGAGTGTACTAACTAATCACAGTGATAGCTCCATGCATATGTGAGAACAGCAAATGATTCATCTGCTCGTCAGACTCGCAACACGCTGCCAGCAGCAGTGAGTTCTTTGGGATTCGGAGGTATAGACTGTCAGATGCATGAATTTACAGTTGATCAACTCTTGCACTTCATATTCCAAAGCTGTCAATCCAGTATTTTTAATAAGCAACAAAAGCACTATAAAGTCTTGTATATCAAAGGAATAGAAAATTTAATGGTAAATTAAATATTCTAAAAATTATTGAAGTCTAATTTTAAGTCCCTTAAAGTATAACTGGACGGAAAAAAAAAAAAAAAGCATATGTGCAAAAACTACATAAGTAAGAAAAAAAAATCACTACAAGTTACTAAAGTTATTCATTACATCATAGAAAACTAGTGGGTTTGGCTTAAAACATAATCAAATCATGACATGTTATACAGCTAGATAGAATAACAGAATGTTTTCTCAAACTCTGTAATAAACACAGATAATTTGGTCCAATTTAAGTGACCTTTAGATCTCAGGCAGACAATTATTTCAAAGCAAGCCTTTTGATAAATTTTCTCTACGTTAATTAATTTCTCATTTTAAATTCCATTAGTACTTGATCACCACAGCATGAGAGCAAGAGTGTCATCCCAATACATAATGAGGAACCCAAGTACACTAATCTGTTCTCACTTTCATTAATATTGTAAATTATCTATTTCAAACCAACATGAAACATTTTGAAATAAGGTATTAATTCTGCAAAAGTTTCAATACAGTAAGATTAGATCCTCAACTGTAATGCTACTGAAATTAAAATTATTACTTATAGAGGAAAAAAATATATGTATAGCTAAGGATTTACAAGATAGGGCCTGCAAAGACCTGCAATTGCTCTGTTAAAAAAGAAATGTGAATTTTGCCATTGATATGAATTCAGACTAAGTGCTTCAGAGAAAGCCGTAGTTCCATAAAAAGGTCACTATTTATACCTGTCTAGTATTAATTCTCTTTTAGCAATAAAAACTGTTAAAATTCAAACTTAATGCTATTCATATTGGTTCTTTTGTTGAAAAAGAATACAGAACTATAGTGCCCCTTCTCTAAGGAATCATTTAAGTCGCATTGTTATGCTATCAGAAAGTGGATCATTATTAATTCCAAAGGCAATGCCTGATTGGTGAGCTCTACACTAATAAGACCAGAGCTGTGCAAATGATAGCAATGATTCCCCATTAGAGAATATTTCTAAGAAAATTTAAAAGCTTCAAGGCTTTTGCAGGAAAAAATAAGATGTTTCTAACTTTTCAATTTTACTAATTTTCAAAATAAACTATTTCAGAAGACCTTATTAAAAAATACCTGAACCTCTCATGTTTAAAGACTGCCTAGAAGATAATTCAAAGAAGTGTTTCCACTTCTCAGAATCCTTCCAATGTAACTTGCAGCTTCTAAGCAAGCTTGTAACTGAAAATATTACAAAGTGTTATCTTTTGCTCCAAAGAATTTAGCTCTCCTCTCCAGCTTTGCAGAATTCCTGGCACATCATGCTTAATAAATATTTTTAAAAGTATACACCCTGTGGGATTTCATAAATGAAGAGAGGTGGAGGAAGCAGGAGTATTTTGACACAGCTGCACAATTAAACTTTTGCACAAAGTATGGACAAAATCCCTGCAATCTAGAAAAGCTGGAAAAAATAAGATAGTAGCAGCTCAAGAGTTTACTATTCTGATTACCAGATGAATTACATTTTAAAAAGAAAAAAAAACAAACCAGCCATATTATTTCCATTGATGTACAATTACCAAGTATCATTCTACTTAAAATACAAGGTAGCCATGATGAATATCCAAACCCACCCAAACAATTAATGTGCAAATACTATAGCACACTACAAAATACTCAGTTTTTAAGCAGGCACCCATGTTCTGGAAAGCAAAAAAATAACAAAACCACATGATTTCTCAGCACTGCTGAAGTGAAATGCTGGTCATTTTGAACTGGACTAATTTGATCCCATGACAGCTCCAACACTGTAGCTGGATTTAATTTTCACTGGTAGTCAGTGAAGAGCAGAATACACTTGAAAAAATATATTCATTTCATCTTAAAAAAGATGGCTTAACTCAGATAACTTGCATCCTGAAAAAGAGTATTTATCTTCACTGGTTACAAAAGAGGCCTCAGGTGACCAGTTCAGGCTTGTAAATGTTAGTTCCTTCAAAGGTACCTGGAGTCAGCTTTCCTGAAAGTCTGTCCTTGTCCGCATCCTCATTCTCAACATGAATATATTTATTTGGTAAAACACTACATATTTAAGAACAACTTGTCCTCAGAAGAGTTCACTGAAAATACAACCTTAAATACTGAAAATATTTGAATCCTGAGCATCTACTGCCTAATTCTCAGAGTAACATGGTCACTTAAAATCATTTACCATTCTGTTTGAAAGCAGTCAAGGGTTCTGGACATTCCCAGTCTGACCAGAAAATTGCAGAAGAAGTCATCCATTGCTTCAGGTATTTCAGACACTGATTTCTCCGAAGTCAGAACTGATTGCAAAGCCTGAAATCAAAATTTGATAATTGTTATTAACCTACAAGATAAATGTAATTATCATACCTTCTATATCTGAACTTATCTGAAGTCACAGATCTACTGGAGTACAGATGAATGTTACCCTTGTCTTTATTGATCAGATCTGTAATCACTGATCCTTCTAATGACAAGGTCTGTGAAAGGTTATAGAGAAATAACTCAAAAATCACCCAATTTAAGCAAGTATTCTGAACCTGACATAATCTGATATGGACTCGAAACTGTTTAAACTGATGGATGATCTTCTGTCACTGGCCAGAGAGAAAGCGTTAGTTCTCATACTCCTGCACCCTTCATCAACCTTAAAAACTACTGATGAGAAAAATCAGTACTTCATCTAATAAAAAATGTAGAAGTCCAGGGTAGTAGTAAAATGGCTTATTATTTTTGTAATGATGCATGCAATACAGAGACTGAAAGAACTGCAACTCAATCATCAGGAAGTCTCACGAAGATCAATTCTCCCTTTTCTTCTCAACATCCATATGCAGGCACTGAGCAAAGCTGCCAGACAACATTGTTACAAGTGCTAGCAGAATGCAGACGGTACACCAAGGCTTCATAGGCAGCTCCTACAGTGCCACCAAGACAGACAGCTACTCAGATAAGATCAGCTCATGGGTCAAGCACAGTTGCCAAAAGCATAATCAAAACAAAACAGAGCAATCCTACTACAGAATAAAGACAAAAAAAAAAAAAAGAAAAAAAAAAAAGAAATCCCTTCCACAGCTTTCTGTTGCAATGCAAATTTTTACCCAACCCCATTCAGCCCACTCAGTGTATAGCTTAATACTAAACTCTCTTAGAGGGATTTCATGATGCAAGGAGGTATGGAAAAAGTAAAATATGACCCAGTCTGAGCCTGCTCCCCCACAAAATATATTTAAAGAAAACCAGATAAGAGAGACTGCCACAAATTGGCAGCCAAAGATGTGGCTTTAATTCATTCAGACTTCAAATAGATTACAGTGACTTGATATACCTAAATATGAGGGTGTCAGCATTCGGGAACTCCTCATGGGAATAACGCTACAAGGAATTTGCTCAACAATGCAATCTACTGTCTAAAACAAGATACTACACTGCACGTGCCTGCCTCCTGGTGAGAGGACTACAGAACAAACCGGGCGTGACAACTATAACTTTGATAACACATGTTACATATCATTTAAAAACAAAACAAACCAAACACTGTAGAGATGAGAAGCATAAACAGCTTCCACACATGCCTACCTTCTTTCCTTCATTTCAATGCTAAGAAAACAGAAAAAAATTCCAGGGAGATATTCATCAAGACATACTAAAGGCTATGACTACAAATTATTTCCTCCATCCATTTAAAAACGAATCTATAGGCCAGGAATTTTTGATAACTCCATTTATGGCTTATTCATGTCCTTAGTGGGAGCTCTATCAACATGACTGCATAAATTACCTGGAGATAAAGGCATTTCTCTTGATAAAATAAAAACAATGGAAAAATCTCATCGCCATTTTGTATAATACAGAAAATGTTGTGTTCAATGCAAGCAAACTATCTAATATAAACAGAAAGAATTCTACATGTACCATCATGGCCATGTACCACTATATTAGGACTAATATAACATGCCAAGTGCAATGTAATATTTAGCATATTTTATTACTAGAGATACAGTACATCAGACAGGTCTATTTTCTAATTGTGGTAATACAAGAACCAAACATGCAGCTGCATCCCTTTTCTTCCTTCTTTTCTTTCTTTATTCTAAGTGAGGCAAATGTCTAATATTGTTGCTAGTAGTTTCCCAAACACATCGATAAAGCCAGTCTGTGGAAGAAATGACACAGCTTGATTCCCTTAATAAAGGGAAATATGATAGGAATTCATTTCATCTGTGCAGAAGAGAATTTATTAGCTAGATACTAGCACTGAGAATGATTTCAGAAACCAAAGCTCGAGCAGGGAACAATATAGGGGAAGATGAATGCAGTCTAACAGGCACAGTATTGGAACAGGGCCTCAGGAAACCAGAATTAAATTCCTGGCTCTTCTGCAGATTTTTTGAGTGATATTAGGCTAATGACTTCTTTAAGATTAACCTTGGATGACTACCCACAGAATGGCATAACTAATTTTTTGTATATATTTACCTATTTAGAAATAAAGAAAATACAATCTATTAATGTGGTGCAAATACACCCTAGAGAAGCTACATACACTAAAACAACTTAAACGATTCTGACCATTAAAATCAAAATAAACAAAAGAAATATTTGCTTTGTTAAATATTTCTTGGTTAAATATTTACTTTTGAATTAAAATCTTTAAAACATTTTGACTGTAAAGATTGCAAATATGGCCAGCAAAATAATTGCTAAAAGCTTAACCTTAAGGACTTTCATAATACTAGCAAAAAATTCTGTCCAGTGAAGAAAGATTAACACCAAATAAATTAATAATTCCTCTGGAAAATAAAATTAGATGCTCTTGCAAAGCTTACTAAACTAAGAATAAAAAAAGAGAATTCAAAGATTTTTAAAATGGTCAAATTATAAATCTAACCTACATAAAATATAAGGTCAATGAAGGGTAACGTGACTTCAGAGTATCATTTGGGATCTTAAGAAAATAAAGATCCTGGAACTGAAGTGTAACAGCTGTAACTACTGATGAAAGTATTTCAGCAAGCTTTGTGTGAGTGGTTTTCCAGAAATTCTGTATCCTTTTCCTAGGGTCCCTATCAGCTGAAGATTTTCTTTCATATGCAAAATATTCTGTTACTTGTGTTTAAAAATAATTTATATTACTTTACAATGTCTCAAAACAAGGACAACTGGGGAGAAAAAAAAAAAAAAACAAACACCAGTTGTGACTGAAAAGGACAAATGATGACTAGAACAGGAACAGCAGGCAGAATCACTGCCATCCAGAGCATGTGCTGCCCAGCACAGCTGTATTTTGAATCAACTGCCATTTCAGCACCAGACTAGGGGGAAACAATATTTACAGAGTAGAGCTCCATCACCCTCATTTCCCTGTTGGGATCCAAACAAAAACATGAACTGTGAGGGAGCCTCACCATACTCTTTAAAGAGCAGTAGTTTCACTGCATGCATGCAGACATCCAGAAGGAAGGAAAACATGTCTCGATATCCCTTGTAGAAACACAGCTTTAGTTCCTACACCATCTCTAGCACCATCTCTCATTTGCTTATGTTTGCTCTTCTTCATTTAGTAATTAGTGTTAATTACTTTGGAAGGAAGTTTGGAAATAAGCATTTTTCTTAGATTTTCCTGGTTACACTTGACCTTTTTAACAGAGTGTAAAAGAAAACGTAGTTACTCAATTTAGAAACTATGGATATTTATAATATCTGTATTTGGCAAATCACTTCAGTATTTTTGGATGCTCACTTGATCTGTGCTGTCTCTATATAATTTCTTTCAGAAAAAGACTGCATCTAGTATTGAAATGCAATCTTTTATATGGGATTAGGTATACAAATTACTATGAACAGCAAATATACACAATCACTTAAAACTTCATCACAGAGTAGCTATTCCAGGATATGGCTGTTACCTAATTTAACCCAGTTTAGCCATGATTAGAAGCTAATAATTGAAAAAGTGTATCTGTTATTTATCACTTGAAGACAACAGCCTTCTACTGTTGTAGAAGTGCTTCTTAGCTCAGATTTTGGATATTGAATCAATATTAACTCACAGAAAACAGTGCTTCTTACTTTGGCCACCAAAAGCATTTGCTGCAGCACTTGTTTTTTTCCAGTGAATTAGCATCAAACAATCTAGTCACTGAGCCTCACAAAATGTACAGCAAGACGTTATGAAAGCTGTCAAGGAACTAGCAAGTGTATTAAAACATTTTTCTATTCCTGTCTTTCTGTCTAAAGGATGAAAATATTATTTCAGTTTCAAAGTTATGGAAAAAATGAGGCCCCCAAATAACGAGTGAAGAAGCAAGAAGGCAGACATCTATTAGCATAAGCACGAAATCAAAGAGAATTTGAATTTAAGCACACACGTTCTTCTTTTGTTTTAAGGTAACACTTTCTTCAGTTTGATTAAATGGGATAGATATTAGCATATTGTTTCCTTCAACAAATCAATAAAATGGTAAAATATTAAAATATAGCACTGTCAGAAGATCAATAGATTAAAAATATTCATCCTTGTCTCACTTTTTATTTGAATGTCAACTCATACAGTAAACCAGACATAACTTCAGTTATCCCTAAAGAACATCAAGAATTTCTGCTACTCGGTTAACATTAAGCATCTTCAATCTTAAAACCTTCTGCCATCTTTCCCTTAATTTTCAGGCATTTGAAGTTTGATCTAAAATAAAAATCTGATCCATTGATATGCACTAGTACAGAAGAAAATGCACATCTTTTCTTCATTTTGATATTAAGACTCATTCACATAATTTTATCTTTTCATTATTAATCATTCGCTTTTGCAAAACAAACACTATGATGACAGCTTACTGATGAGGATGTAAGACAGTGGTGATATTAGAAACACAGCAAGGAAAAACACTTTCATGTTAGATTGCTATAAAGAAGTAAATTCAGGTAAATCATGTTTTGGAAAACGCAATATAACAATCCCATTGCGTAACTCTGAACTATTACATGACTGGCTTGAAATCAAGCTGTAAATGTAAAAAATGTCAAAAACTAATGGTGTGAAATGATTGATAATTTCATTACTATTTTGATTTAACATAGTGTAACAGCCCATTCTTTATTTCCAATATATGAATAATCTTTTTTAGCAAAGTAATCAAACACAAGTTTCTGTGGCATGAAGTTTTACTGTGTCAGGGATCACACTCTCATTAAATCTACTCAGATAAACAAACACACCCTAAAATACTGATACACTGTAATAACATTAATTTATTTTAAATAATCTATCTATATATTTGTTACATGTATTTGCTGTATCAGGTTGTTTACGGAACATGAACAAAAGTTAAAGAAAGATGAAACCCGGAAAACATAAGTTGCCTTTTTCACTGTGGCATATATTTACTCCTAGAAACTTCTGAAAAATAAGACACAATCTTTTCCACACAAATATTTCATAACTAAAATAAATAATGATGTGTAAATTTTCAGCCACTAATGTCAACTGAATTACGGATAGACTCTTGGAATGCTTAGGAAGTTCTTACTAAAATTTGGGCATCTTCAGCCTGCTCTTGAATAGTCTGCAAAGCCTTTGACAGATCCTCATCATCTTCCTGAAGACTAAATTCATCATCTGTTGGAACCTAAATTAAATGATTTAAAGTTAGGTATCAACATATTTTATGCATCTTTCTTTCAGAATACAATTTCCACTCCCAGTATGACTACTGAAAAGAATATAATTCTTGTTAAAAGAATATCTTGCCATATTTAATTAGAATTCACATTACTGAAATATTCATTATAAATAAGCTGAAATGTCTAAATAGAAATACCTGTATCTTTAAAATGTATTTAATGTTCAAATAAAAGTAAAACATAACAAATCAACTGACACTAAATCTTCCCTTGAAAAATAAAGATATGCCTAGCATCAGCACATTAAAGAGATTCATGTCATTCGTCCTAGGATGTTTTTGTGATTGATGAAATAAACCAAAAGAATGAAACATGAATACTGATTATCAGTAGATTATCAATTTAGTAAATTACCTCTTCATACTGATAATCATCTTCAGAGTCATCTGTTATGGTAAATTCTGCAGATTTTGTTAAGTATGAAACAGCTGATGTCTGTGATGAGTTCTAACTTAAAACAACCATTTATAAATCTGTTACCACCACCTTCGCCCTTGTTCTTTTTGACACAAGACTTTACACTCTCAAGGCTTCTCTCACCCTTTAGATGAACAAGCCCAGCTTCAGCAAAAACTATGTGCACAAAAACAGAATTTACAAAGTTTTTATAGCAGGTTTCAACACCATTAAAATTTGTCTCAGCAGATCTATCAAAGTTAGAAATTGAGCACTGTTCTGAAATAAATACTAGCTAAATTCTGCTCTCACTTACCCGATCATCAGTTTTCATAGGAGTCTTACTGCTCTAAGACTTTCACAGACTTTATGCTTCCAAGCATAACTAGCTTCACACTCTCAGAGAATGGCATTTTTATAACATTCAGATGTATGAATTCAAACATGAACATCTGAGATCACACACTGAATACTAGAAGACCATTTACTGAAGCTGATACAAATGCCTAAATAATTACAACACAAATGCAATAAAAAGATAAAGAACTTTCAAAATGTAAAAAAATTGGAAATTATCTACAGCTCCTCCAAACGCTTTAGAGTAAGTTTTCATTAAAAATAAGTACAAATGGTGTAAAATGAAACCCAAATAAACATTTTTTTCATCCACTAGCCTCACAGCCCATGAAAATATAACAAGAATGAATGTTTTTAGCAAGATGGTCTGTTGACAGTTTGCCTAGGAAATTGGTAAGCCTACAAATGACCCACTTAAATAAACAAGAAATTAACTTCCAAAGAAAAGCCAGCAATTCAGTACTTCACACACAGAGGGGGGTAAAAAAACCAAAAACATGCTTTTCTAGCTTTACATCGTTTCCCTAATCTGAATTATTCTCCTAAAAAACAGGCCTTTTGCTACGGTTCTCACAGTACAATATATATGTTAAAGTATCATTGCATTCAAGACCCCAGCATCACAGCATCAGCAAAACTATGTTAAATTGTAACCATCTGGAAGGCTAACAGCTGAGGATCACATCCCAAAACAGGATAACCACCACTTTCTAGAAATTTGAGATAAAAAATTGAGAGAGATCATTTTCTCTTGTAAACAACAACAAAAGATTGAATGTATAAAGGCATAATTTTCAGTAATCAAGTTGAAGCACATCTGTGTACCTCCAACTGCATGACAACACTACATGCTTACTATAAAAATTGTATACATAAAGAGGAAACTGGTATGAACGCTTCTTAAGAATCTCCTATCTACGCTTAGTACATAAAAACAAATGCCTGTAATACATGTGCCCCCAAATTTACTCCCCCAGTTACTGCATCACAGACTGCAGATGTTGAACACAGGACTTGAATTCAAGTCACATCCTTTCTGCAGCTCAAATTTTGCTCTTTGCCAAAGCCTAATTTTCTAACTTGACTGATTCTGGAATAGTTCATTCTAAAATCTGAACTATGAAGAAACTCATCTCCAAAAAATGTTTACTGTCCTTGCTTACACAAGTGGGGGAAAAAAAAAAAAAAAAAAAAAAAAAAAAGGAAGGAAGCCACAAACTATTAGATTTGTCAGGCTTAAGTCTGTTCTCTATTAGACCAGAAAAAGTCTGGATCAACTCTTCTGACTTTAACGGGAGGGCAAAGAAATTGTGCAGTTCAACATCCATCTTTTCTCAGCACAGTACTCCAGGACCATATGTGGGTTCACCAAGTGAAGAAAACCCAGATGAAAATAGTTTGCACTGAGACATGACTTTTGAGAGAGTTGACCCAACAGACTTGAGATAGTGAACAGAGACTCAGCATTGGGCTAGCTTTTAATTGCCTGCCTGCTCCCTAGTACGACAAGGTCTTTCCAACCTAGATGATTCTATGATTCTTTAACAGGAATGCTTTGGTCCTTGCATTGGTGTCTGACCACGTCCTGATGAAACAGTTCCTGATTCCTGGGCGTTGTTCCTTCAACTCAGAGGAAGAAAAGTTCATCTGAACTGCCGACTACACCAGAAAAAGAGAACAGCAGTAAGGCGCAAGCACAAAGCAAGAGGAATAGTATTCCTTGATTGTTCAAAAAAGCAAGCATGCTTTCAGCAGGCAAACCAAGATAAAAGACACAGTAATATTGACTGACTAGTTAGGGTAATCTTCTAAAAAGCCCCTTTTTTAAAATTAGATTAAGATATCCTAGCTGACTACACATTCTCTTTAAAGAATGAGACTTTTAAAAGTGTTTATATGGCGTGAATACCCAGGTACAACATTTTTTGTATGAAGCAGGGGACAATTTCCACATATTTGTAGTAATTCTATGTACAAACTAAGTATCTGCATGCTTCTCTGAAACCCCTAAGCCTCTTCATTACTTTATAGCACAGTATCTATCAACTTAGAATTTAAATAAAGTACATTTAAATAAAATACTGTACTCAATTTTTTCACACCACATTTAGTGATCTGATCAGAGACTTATATTTTCCAAAGCTATCTTTTGAATGATCCTCCCCCCATCTCAACTACTTTCTGCATTTATCACATCTTTCAATGCAGACAGAAACATCACCGCAGTATACCCTTGATAAGTAAAACACTTTCAAACACAGGGGTTTTTTCCTGAATTTTCTACTGATCTGACTGTCCTTGTGATCCACCACAGTCCAAATTTATGAGTCATTGCAAACACTGTGCGCAGACTAAAATATTAAAAATACTGATTTTTTTTCCTCCTCTTTTTTTCAAAAATCATAGACAGGTACACAATAAAACATGTCAATTATTTTTTAGAACAACTCTATCTTCCCAACACTGTCAAAAAAATTTTTAACGCATACTGTTGCAGTGATTTTTTTAAGCACATTTTTTTAGTGTAAAAGCAGCTGTGCAGTTTCAGGAAGGTAGAAACTGAGGCACAAGCTCACAAAGGACAACCTTTCACTTTTTTTTTTTTTTTTTAATCGCTTTTATATTGGCTTATATCTTAATGCCAGCGAGGCAGGAAAAACTAAGGTACTGGTAGGGCCTAACACTTAAGCTCTGATTGTTTAGCCTCTAAAATAAAGCTTGAAAGATCTTGATTTAGCAGCTCACAACTACAAAAAAGAAAAGACAGAACTAATCTTAGTGAGAAAACTAGAATTTGGGTCACGTGACCAAATATTTACACATTTAAAAGCCATAACATAATTTCCTACAACTCAATTGTGAAAAGAATTCAAACGGATTTTTTTTCCTCTAAAAGCCACAGCAAATAAAATTATGTCTAGGTTATTGTATCATAATCTTTATAAGCTGTTCATACACAGTACTAAACAAAACCACGAATACCTAGCCAGTTAGTGTGGCAGGCACTGGGAAATGAAAGGATCACCTTTTACAGCAGCATATTGTGGGACTGTGAGTCTTAGTAACAAGTCTTGTCACTCCTCCGTAGATATTTTACCTTTACTGATCAGCACCCAGCACAAGAAAGGCGGGAAGTCTTCCACTTCAGAATTTTAACTCTTGCTTAGACTGCCCCACCAGCAGAGAATAAAATTACCCTGCTTTTCCTGTGGGTCACTCAAGGGATCTTACCAGCAGCAATGAAAAAAAAAAAATAAAATAAGGTGAGCAAGACCTTACTGTCTTAAAAGGGAAGAAAAACCACAGAAATCCCAACTGCGCATACTGTCCCTGTTTGAGGGGCAATAACCTACAAAACCAAGCAATATGGTGGGCTCTGGGGGCTTTCGCCCCCCTTCCTCTGAAACAACTCAGCAGCCCACGGGTCTCCTGCTGGGAGGGTCCCAGCGACACCGGCAGGGCCGCACGCTGCCCCCCCGGGGTCCCCCGGCCCGGGCCGGACAAGCCCGGGGAGCGGGAGCGCTGAGGAGACGGGAACCGGCGGGACCCTGAAAAGAACTGTTGTATTCCTTCATAAATTCTCGATTGTCAGCTTCACCACTGTATTGAGTTTGATAAATGTCAGGGCTTGAACTCATCTGGGTTCAAGAG